CCCTCCCCAGCCCCCAGGAGCTCTCTGAAAGCCTCCTAAAAGCTATGCACAGCCATTTTGGTGAAGGGGGGGGGGGGGGGAGGAGGCGAAAAATGCTGGATTCAGTGTATAAGATGCACCCAGATTTTCAGCCTTTTTTTTGAGGGAAAAAGGTGCATCTTATACTCTGAAAAATATGGTATCACTTCAAAAATTAGTTTTCCCCCTTCTTTTCCTTCTTTTCAGATTTTATGTATTAGATAATAAACTTTAGTGTGGAAGCCACTTTATCCCGTTTGCTAACACAAGCTTAAGTGCATTGCAGAAGCAACTTTTTTAAAAAAAATATAATGCATTTTTATTTAATGTAACTAGAAAGACAACGTATTGAGGAGGGATTTCTTACCTAACTCCAGGTAAAATTGCAATACGTGCACTGTTCCTTCTTTCTTCAAAAAACTCATAAATAGAAAGAAAAGATCCTGCTTGCCTTCAAATTCTTTCAGTTCAAAGTGCAAAGCCTTAATAGAAGATTCAATATGGAATTTATTTCTAATTATCCATACCACCATTTTCTAATGCATATACACTTAACATGCATTTTTTTCATACTTACAGAAGATTTTGTGTTTCTAGTTTCTGCAAATTTCTGCAAGAAAGGAACCAAAGGTGAAGCAGGTTCAGTTGCTATTTCAGGCTGTAAGAAAAAAAATCAGAAAAAAAAAATCCAGCATCCAAGAACAAAACCGAATGATTTCACAATTACTATAATTCTTTTTTTTTTCTTATAGTACTCACTGGACTATCATCAATGAAGATAAGTATCAAGTGATTCACAGTATCCTAAAAGAAAAAAACAGACATATTTAAGAGGCCGCTGAGACAAAAGGCACCCCATGCTATATTTTCTTAGAAACATTTCTTACAGACTCTAAGCCCCACCATTAGAAGAACTTGGCACTTCTGCTCTACTTCCAAGTTGTGTGAAAGGCTAATTTGGAAATCAGCCAACATCTTTGTAAAACTGGGATGTAAACCACCACTTTGGGGCCCGGAACCACATGAGATTCCACCTAACCACCTACTTCTTGTCCTACATACTCAACAAATGAAGTTAGGGTGAGGCTACCAGATTTGTAATGTAAATTTCCAGATTATCTCTACATGGTCGCAGAGAGTGCTATGTATCTTTTTGTTTCTCTACCCAATGATGAATGGAATGTCGGTAGTCCAAGCACAGGGTCCTAGTAGAAGAGCAGTACAGGAGGAAGGAACAAGTGAGGGGGGGGGGGAATGCCACAACTTGTACTAACCACCTCCATCTCTACTTCTGATCCTGTATTGTACACTGAAGCAGAAAGATGCTCTAGAAATAGAGCCCTTTATACACCAGCCATAGAAAGTTAGTAAGTGTAGGTTATCTACAGTGGTTCACCGACAAATGCGCGATAGACAAATGCACGCCGACAAAACCGCGACATCAAAATTGTGCCCACAAAAGCGTGCCGACAAATGCGCGACAACAAAATCACGTCATCAACAAACTACATAGTGGGACGCGTATACGTATGTTATAACCCTAACCCTAATTGTGCTTGTCATCGCGCTTTTGTCATTGCGCATTTGTCGTCACGTATTTGTTGTCGTGCTTTTGTGGGCGAGATTTTGACGTTGCAGTTTTGTCATCACGGTTTTGTCGTCACGCATATGTCTAGCGCGCAATTGTCGGGTCACGATCTACAGTTAGATTCACATCTAAGACTGGTGGAAACCAAGTACCTGAGAATTATTAAGAGAAAGTCTAAGTATTTNGTGAGATTTGAACAGCTGAACTGCAGAACTGCAGTCAGCTGAAGTAGCCTGCAGTGCTGCATTTAACCACTGCGCCACAATAATGTAGAATTAGGTGACTTGGTTGTGTTTCCTGTCTGATCAATCTGGGAAGACTGACATCAATCTTCCAATTGTCTGAAAGTAGAACTTATTTGCAGCCTGATAAATTACAAAGGATTCTTTCTGAGTTTCATTCTCTGCTTGTAATACAGTTGTGAATTTTCTTCTCCCGCCTCTTATCTGATTATTCCCTAGATTCTCTTCTCCCCTCTCCCTGTCTCCCAAGGTTATTTCCACATGCCATTACTCTCAGCGAACCACAGTTTCCTGTTTATGGATGTTTCCATCTGGTCGAGGTTTGGGAAGTAGTAGATTCTTTTTCATTGGTGGTGGACAATGGACATTTGTTGGGGACACTGTAGCAATACCCCTTAGACTTATATACCGCTTCGCAGTGCTTTTACAGCCCTCTCTAAGCAGTTTACTGAGTCAGCATATTTGTTCCCAACAATCTGGGTCCTCATTTTACCCACCTTGGAAGGATGGGAGGCTGAGTCAACATTGAGCCTGGTGAGATTTGAACTACCTAATTGCAGGCAGCCAGCAGTAAGCAAAAGTAGCCTGCAGTACTGCACTCTAACCACTGCGCCACCATGGCTCATCTGGAGCAGTAGATTCCTTCATCGAGCAGGGGATTGGATTAGATCAGGGGCATCAAACTCACAGCCCACGGGCCGGATACATCACATGCTATCCACCTCCGCTTTAGCGAAGGGAGAAAAAAGTTGAAATATGTCATGACAATGTGTCATTGCGAGCTTGACACCCCTCCAGTGGTGGGAGAACAAGTTGTTAACTTTCTAAGCAGTTCGGAGAACCGGTTGTTGGAAGAAATCTCATTTTGTTTTTTTCCCCACTTTAGAGGGCTAATCCTGTAAGGAAGGCAGGAAGGAAACGTTCTGGTGTTGTTTCTAGCCTCATCTTGATTGCCCTGCTTGCAGAAACTGCCTCTCTGGTTAACCTTATTACAGTGTAACAGCTAAAGCGAAGTGCCTATCAACCTGAGTGATGTTGAGTGGGCCACGCCCACGCCCACGCCTACCCAGCTGGTCAATAGGGCAGAGAACTGGTTGTTAAATTATTTGAATCCCACCACTGCACTCCTCGATTAGATGATCTCTGAGACTCCTTCATACCTTCTGTGACTTTGTGAATCTAATTGACTGCAGTTAAGGGAGACTATACTTTGGGCAGGTTGAAGAAGGACTCCAGCAATGCAACCCCATGAAATGACTCAGTGAAGAAGCATCTCACTCTTTGAGGCCAGGTGTCATGCATCACAGAACTTTGGCAACAGAGTGTGAAGGCAAAGGATTTGAAATTTTCCCATATCCTGTTCAGAAATGATTGTGTAACCCAGGTAAACAGACCAAAAAACAAACAACACCTATAGGTAGTCCTTGACTTACAACCATTCGTTTAGCAATCATTCAAAGTTACAATGAAAAAAGTGACTTGCTGTATTTTTCGGAGTATAAGACGCACCTTTTCCCTCAAAAAAGAGGCTGAAAATCTGGGTGCATCTTGTACACTGAATACAGCATTTTTGGCCTCCCAAAACCCCACCCCAGAGGTCCCCAATCTTTCCAACTCAACGGGCCAGCCCGGTGGGGGAAGCGAATGA